TAATTTTTGATTTTCTAATTTATTCATCAAGATCAAATTGATGATATAAAAATAATAAACATTTTTTTTTAATATTTAGTTTAAAGATTTCTATAGAAATATTAATAAGAATATTTAGTTTTTCAGTTGTTAATGATGATCCTATTCGATGCTTGACTTTGATGGATGATCAATTTCAAAAATGGTATTTGAATTTGGTTTAATTTTATTCAATAATTTATTTATTATTTTAGGCAAAAAACAATGTTTACTAGTTATCAAAATCAAGCAGCTTTATTTAATCGATTAAAAAATGAAATGATTGGTTTATATGCTAAGGTAAATCATTGATCTTTTATTATTATTATTATTATTAACTAAAAATATTTGTTAAGATAAATACACAAGAACAAATAATTATTTCCTTAAATCGTGAACGATTTTTACTTGCTAAACAAAATGCTTCACTTAGTAAGTTTCATCTATAGAGAAAAAAAAAAGATTTATAAATAATTTTATTAAAATTCACTTAGAATTAAAATTTTCTCAATCAAGAACATTTTCCGAAGAAAATAATGAAGGTAAATAAAAGATTTAATTATAAATAAATAAATAAATCTATCATTTTTCTTTTATTAAGATATTGAACAACTTGAAACTCATCAAATGATTAAAGACATGGAAAAAATGTCTATATCAAATGAAAAATTGTTAATTGCTCAAATGTCTTTATTAATGGACGATGATTGTAATACACAAATGGCTATTGAATATTGTACACATAAACTTAAGAATTCTGAAAATTATCAAATTAAAGCAAAAAAGGTTCTTTTTTTATTTTGAATTATTTCTTTCTAACATAGAAAAAATTCCAACTATTCATATAAATCAGTAACAATTATGTCTATGTCATCCAGACAAACATTGTATGAAAAATTAAAAGTATATTTTTTGTTAATGACTTAAATATGGTAACATATACTCTGACTTACGAGTTTTTTTGATGACATAAAAGTTTTTGTTCTTCTTGTTAGCACTAGCCGAAAAATACTGCTAGTAAGGATTAGGAGCTTTTTTTTACTGTGAACAAAAAATAGTAAAGAAAAAATTATCTATAATCTGAAACTATGTCTTTCACTCTATGGATTCATAACAAACAGAACTTTCACTTTTATCTGATTAGAATTTGAAAAAAAAAGTCATTCTTCTTTAACATTGAGTATTTTTACAGAAATATGTATTCAATATAATGAGTTTTCACAGCCCCAAATTATACAAAACTCCCATCGAATGTCCCAGATCTGAGCTAAGAATTTTCTAGAAAATTCTCGATTTTCCAAGTGCAACTCGTTTTTTTTTCGACATAGCAACATTTGCATGGAAGATTAACTTCATATTTGGAATCAGCATCGAATGATATATAATTTATTAGTATTCTTATGAAAAAAAAACCGTTTCACGTATATATAGAGTAAGGATCTCTAACAGTAATTTTTCGTTAAGAAAATTTTTTATTGGATTTGACTTTTTCACATTATATTGACATTTGAGAGATGAGAAAGTTATATTGAGTAGAAAATAAGGTATTTCTAAGGTAAAAAAATACATGTTCGCTTGGTTTATGAAAAAATGCCCACTATGCTGCAGGATTAAAATGTGTAACACGATGTAGCTGCTCTCATCCTTTTACTTAATCCTTCAGAAATGCAATATGGAAGTAGTTTAATGAGATGTTATTGATATACGGTTTGCCGGGGTCGATATAACAAACTTGTGCGGATTTTTTATGTCTTTTATGAATATTTTTGATCCGTTATTACTCAATCGTATCATATAGAACTTTTAACATTTTTCGAAATTTGTCAGCAAAAAACTTATTAATCCTCATTTTTAAACTCGTATAATATTCACTCTTTGTGTCATTTGCAGAGTAAAGCTCTAATCTTCTGGAAAACTATTATTTGCTATCGTATATACTTGACATATCTAAATGTTTCAATGAATATTTTTACAAATATGAGATTGCTTTATTCAATGTGGAAGGTGAAGGGACGATGCCTATTAGAAGATCGATCTGTCACTCCCAGAGTTTGTCATTATTGTCCTATATATTATGTATCTGTCCTCCGAAAAATAGGTATTCGTCCTCTCGAAATTTTAAATTGTCTCTCCGAAAGAGAAAATCACTGTTCAATCCGTCGAGAAAATAGAAATAAATTTTCATTCAAATAATTATTTGAAATAAGAAATAATCTGATTCTTTATATAGATAACTGTTGATTCAGCTACAACAGCTTTATATCAAAGTTCTCTGGGTTCATTACATAATGGTAGTCAAAAAAATGAAACATTGGTTTTTTATTATGGTCATCATGATCATCTTGATATAATAGCCAATGCTGGTTTTACTAATGAAGGTATAAAATTAACGAACAATTAAATTAATTTTGATTGATTTATGGTTTTTCTTTAAATTTAGATTTTCTTTATGGCTCATTTGGAAAAGGTCTTTATTTTCATTCGACTATAAAAAATTTACAAGAACAAGTAACTCTTTTTTTTTTTAGTTTTTAATTAGTTGTTATTTTTTTTTTTGTTAAATTTTAGAAAATTCAGAAAATTCTTCTTTGTAAAGTTGCATTAGGTCGTATTGAACTTATATCTAAATCAAAAATAAAATCAACTATTACATTAAAAAGAAATACAGAATATGATTCAGTTAAAGTTCGTTAAATATAATTTTTGAGTTCTTTTTTTTTTTTTGAATTTTTCTATTCTTTTATTAGATATTCGACATGGAAATGATAGATGATAATGATGATGATGATGAAATAGTGATATTTGATTCTCATCTTGCTTTACCATTATTTATTATAACATTCGAATGAGAATGAAAACAAAACAAAACAAAAATACTAGTGCAATTTTAATGTATATCATTTTTTCTCATTAAATAAAGTCTTATGAGACCTGATATTGATAATTTAATTGAATTGAAATCGATTGTTTCATCATTAGTAGTTCTATTTAAAGTTTTTATATAAGAATCAATTATTTTTTCACGAAATGTTTTTAATAGATCTTGATATGCTTTTTCACCTTCTTGTTTTCTATATGTTTGACATGCAGAATAAGTTTCAATTGAATTAATATATTGTCCTATTGATGTTTCGATTTTTTGTTCAATTGTATATTCAACAAGAGTTGATTTGTAGGGTAATAATGGTAAAAGTAATTTATAATAATCATCACATAACCATCGTCTACTATTCCAATATGGAAATAAGATAATTCGATCAAATTCATAATGAATAACATCAGCATTTAGATTATCCAATGTACGTACTCCATATGTCCATATAGCTAAAACACCAGTATTTGGTTTCAAAACACGTTTAACTTCTTCAACAAATAATTCAAGATTAAGTCAATGTAATATTGTAGCAACAGTAATTAAATCAACTGAGTTTGATTCAAGAAATGTTAAATCTTCTGCTTTATTACATCGATATTCGATATTATCTTTTTGAATTGCATGAGCTATTTGATTTTCACTAATATCAATACCAATTACTCGATCACAATATCTAAAATAATAATCCATTGTTTTTTTTGAAAATATATTTACAAAAAAACAACAACAATGATATTTACAAGCTAAGTCCAATTGTAGCTTGACCATTGCCACATTCAACATCAAGGGCGAGTGGAATTTTTTCATTTGTTTGATTACCATTAAAATAATAATTAATAATATGTTCAAACAATTGCTTTGGATAATTTGGTCGATGAAGACGATATTTACGTGTATGTTCTTCTTCTTCAAATAGTCGATAACTCATTGTTTTTTTTATTCTTTTTTTTTGCTTTTGTATTCTGTTTTTTTTCTGATCTATTCTTACCAGGTGCCACTGAATAGTGTCAGAGATTTGTTGATTAAACTCTTGTTTCTTTCAGTGGACAGCCA